GGTTGCTGGGGAGAGAAAAAAAAATGAAGTAACTGACGAAGGCGGCCAAGTACAAGTCGCTGCAGTAGCCCGGTCCAACTACGGAGTTGCAACTCTCCTCTGTGATGTCGCCCACAACTGGTTGCAGGTCCTTGAAGAAATGCTTCAGCCAGAAAGATAAGTGGTTTTGTCCCTCTTGGGCCTCTTCTGGAGTAGTTCCCCAGTCCTAAGATCAGACCAAGAGCCATACTTCCGCGCCTCTCGAAAGGCTCCTTGGAGGGCAGTGACAGCAACTTGTTCTGCAGGAGTCAGGGACGCTGGTTCGAAGGGGTGATCTCCACGAGTGCTCAACCGTAGAAGGACGGCAACATCTTCGAGGGTTGGAGTTATCTCCCCCCATGCCAAAGAAAAAGTGTGAGTGTCGTGGCTCCAGCGGGAGACAACCATATCTGTGTTGGTTTGTACTTTGTGCACTGATAACACCCTCGAAATCGAAACGGCATTGTAGAGACGAACATCCCGCAATTGCTGCTTGAACCCACCATATGCAATGATGTCATCAACCCAGAGGGACCAGCCTGTTGAAGGGCCCGAGTGAGTGCGATAATAGATGTATGAATGGGGAAAGTCACCACGCTCCACGCGAAACCGCAGCACAGAGACTGGGTTCACCATGCCAGCATCATCCAAAGCAGCCTCACTAAAAGGAAGCAGAGGCTCCCCCAAAGGAAGGGCATCAGGAACAAAGGAGTCAACGGACTTCCAGAAAGGGTCAGCTAGCCCTCCGAAGTATGAGGCCCTCCTCCACTCAGTAGGGGGTGGGTCAACCCTGTCGGATAGAAACCTTGTGCTGGCCATAAGGAAGTATAAAGAAAAGTAAAGAAGACTCTGGAAAGTGGGGACAAGGAAAAGAAGACAAGGAGACAGAAAGTGTGTTTGGGCGGAAGTGGGGGACCAGTGGACCCAAGGGCGCTAACAAGGAAAAGAAGACAAGGAGACAGAAAGTGTGTTTGGGCGGAAGTGGGGGACCAGTGGACCCAAGGGCGCTATTTATAAAGAAAGTAGCAACAGGGTGTTGACACACTTCCCTAGGCCCATTATGACCCGTCAATCAAGAGGGTAATCCTTTTAAGAGCTGACGCAACCCTTGGGTTACTTGCTGGCGTCATGCACACGTGGGAAACCAGGAACGTGTCCCCCACTGGGGCAGGGGGCAAATGTAGAGGGTCAAAAATTAAACCCCAAATTAAGTATGGGCCTAAGTATTGAGGTCGCCCCAAAGAGGTGACCAGGAATGAAAAAGGAGCATGGGCTAAAGTCCAAGGGAAGTGGGCCAACAGTGGCTCGGAGTAGGTCCGACCCGCCAAGGGTCCAAACAGTCTCCACGAAGGAAATGACCGAGTCAAGTTGCAGCAAGAACACATGCGACGGCCAAGTTGCAGAGGGAATACATGCAACGGGGAAGTTGCCGAGGCACTTTGTCTTAGCGCCGCCATTCCAAGTATTCTCGGTTCCGTCGCCACCTGGAGTTGCTGAGGGAAGGAGAGAACCGAGGTGCCCAAGTTGCATAGGCACTTTGTCGGCGCCGCCATCTCCAATATTGTCGGTTATGCCATTTGAACTTGCCACGGGAAATAACTACCGCAGCAACTACTGTCGCCGCAACCAACTTGCGGAGGGAACATCTAGCCCTCCGAAGTATGAGGCCTTCCTCCACTCAGTAAGGGGTGGGTCAGCCCTGTCGGATAGAAATCTTGTGCTGGCCATAAGGAAGTATAAAGAAAAGTAAAGAAGACTCCGGAAAGTGGGGACAAGGAAAAGAAGACAAGGAGACAGAAAGTGTGTTTGGGCGGAAGTGGGGGACCAGTGGACCTAAGGGCGCTCTATTTATAAAGAAAGTAGCAACGGTGTTGACACACTTCCCTAGGCCCATTATGACCCGTCAGTCAAGAGGGTAATCCTTTTAAGAGCTGACGCAACCCTTGGGTTACTTGCTGGCGTCATGCACACGTGGGAAACTAGGAACGTGTCCCCCACTGGGGCAGGGGGCAAATGTAGAGGGTCAAAAATTAAACCCCAAATTAAGTATGGGCCTAAGTATTGAGGTCACCCCAAAGAGGTGACAAGGAATGAAAAAGGAGCATGGGCTAAAGTCCAAGGGAAGTGGGCCAACAGTGGCCCGGAGTAGGTCCGACCCGCCAAGGGTCCAAACAGTCTCCACGAAGGAAATGACCGAGTCAAGTTGCAGCAGGAACACATGCGACGGCCAAGTTGCAGAGGGAATACATGCAGCGGGGAAGTTGCCGAGGCACTTTGTCTTAGCGCCGCCATTCCAAGTATTCTCGGTTCCGTCGCCACCTGGAGTTGCTGATGGAAGGAGAGAACCGAGGCGCCCAAGTTGCATAGGCACTTTGTCGGCGCCGTCATCTCCAATATTGTCGGTTATGCCATTTGAACTTGCCACGGGAAATGACTACCGCAGCAACTACTGCCGCCGCAACCAACTTGCGGAGGGAACATCTCGCCAAGGTGAGAGCAGCCTCTGGGAAAAGCTTCTCCTCTGCACGTAGAGGGTAATGCCTGGCGCTGATAGCAGGCCCCAAAATTCATTTAACTGGGCACTGATAGCAGGTCACAAGACTTACTAGTTGGAGCTGATGGCCGGCCCAGGGTACCAGTTTACCACGGCGATCCCACGAAGATGGGAGCAGGGTAACCTGATCATGAGGGACTCCCTTTCCATTACCCAGGACATAGACCTGCCTTAGTCGCACGGGCAGAACTAAAGAAGCCCCTTGGGCTTGGTACTAAGGAACAACATGGCTGATAGCAGGCTTGGCTGTGGCCTTTGCCCTGGGAAGCTGGGGAGTTTGTGGTTGGGTGGCTAAGGGTGAAGGCTTCACTGCAGTGAGCACGAACATAGTCGATAGCAGACTAATGGAGTGTTGAGAATGCATGCAGTGGCCAAGTAGAACTGAGAAGGCAAGTGCAGCAGCAAGGTTTACCGCTGCAAGTGCACTTGCTGAGGTTCGAGCTGATAAGGCAAGTGCAGCGGCAAACGCTCCCGTCATAACTGCAGTTGCTGAGGCTCAAGAGGGAGTTGCAGCGCCAAACACTCCCATCGCAACTACACTTGTTGAGCCTCAAAAAGGTAGGTGCGGAGGCAAACAGATAGCACACAGTACATGCAGAAGGACACGTGGCACCTTCAGCCTGGTGGCTCAAGTCAGAATATTCCATGTGATCATCTAGGACACATGTCCTCTCTCTATTTGGCCACTTGGTGTCCTCTTGGTGCCAAGGAAAAGCCTATATAAATAGGACCCATTTCCTAAAGTTCAACAAGAGGAATTTTGGGGATTTGGGGGAGATGCTGCCTATTTTGGCACTGCCATACATTTCTTCTTGAGCTACTTGCTTCACCCTCACCTAGTTGCACACTCTTCAACTTCCACAATTCTTGGACCATTAGCATAGTTTTGCCTCTCTAATCACCTTCGCTAACCTCGAACCCCCCTACATTTCTGGCGATTCCGCTGGAGAGGCTGCTTTGTTCATGGTTCATACCCGCTGTGGTTTACACACCTCACTGGAAAAAATGGCAGAGGATGAAGTTCACCAAGGCTCTTCAAATGGCGAAGCAGCACATGCGGAGGATCGTGACCACAGTGTTGTGATTGAGGCAGTTCAGTCACTCCGGGATACGCAGAGGGAGATCCTGGCAGCTTTGCAAACTCTCACTGAGGCGCCATGGCTTCTCGACCAGCTCCAGCGCAAGCACCTCCGCCCGTAGCAGTCCTAAACCCAGTGCCTAACCCGTCTCTTGTCACCCATCACCTGGATACTTTTCCCAACTCCAAGCCAATAAAGCAACATGCTCGAAAGTATCACCCTGACCTTGAGGCAAAGATTAAGGAAGAGGTAGAATAGTTGCCGAGGGCCAAGTTCATTGAGCCTATACAGTACCCAACTTGTCTAGCAAATATTGTGCCTGAGGAGAAGAAAAACAGCTAGATCAGGGTCTGCGTAGACTTTCCCGACCTGAATGAATGAGGCCTGCCCGAAAGATGAGTTTCCATTGCCCCATGTCGACACACTTGTCGATTCTACTGCGGGCCATAAGATGTTCTCCCTTATGGATCGGTTCAGTGGTTATAACCAGATCAAAATAGCATCAGAAGATGCAGAAAAAACGGCATTTAGAACACCCTTGGGAAATTTTTTGTATATAGTGGTGCCCTTCAGTTTGAAAAACGCGGGGCCAGCCTACCAACGGGCTATGACTGCAGTGTTCCATGACATGTTGCATCATGAAGTGGAAGTATATGTGGATGATCTGGTGGTCAAGTCTACCGAGGCAAACTGACTCCTCTGCGACTTGGAAAAAGTTTTTCAACGGTACCGCAAATTCTGCCTAAAGATGAACCCTTTCAAGTGTGCCTTCGGAGTTACCGCCGGCAAGTTCCTTGGCTTTCTTGTACACCAGAGGGGGATCAAATTAGATTGGGATAAGATCAAGTTAATCATGGAGATGCCACAGCCACACTCTCAAAAGGCCTTGAAGAAATTCCTAGGCAAAGTGTCATACCTCAGGAGGTTTATTCCAGCCCTTGCTGAGATAACCTTCTCCTTTGGGACACGACTGAAAGGGGATCACAAGTTTGAATGATTGCAAGAACACCAATAGGCATTTGATATGATGAAGAAAGCACTTACCTCTCCACTTACAATGATTGCACCATAGCCTGAAAAGCCTCTGCTACTATACCTAACCTCTACTCCTCAGTCTATTAGAGCTCTACTTGTCTGAGACATAGATGGCATTGAGAAGCCAGTCTATTACATCAGTCGCAAAGTCAATGGTGTCGAGTCGCGATATACCCCAATTGAGAGGCATTGTTTAGCCTTAATCTTCACAGCGCGGAAGTTGCGCCACTATTTTTTGGCACACCCGATCCATGTTGTGACCCCGGAGTGATCCGGTCCGCTACTTGCTAAGCAAACTTGCTCTGACTGGAAGAATGGCAAGATGGCTTTTGGCTCTAGCAGAATATGACATCACTTGTGTTACTCCCAAGGCTATTAAGAGCCAAGCACTTGCAGACTTACTGGCCCAATTCCCATCTGGTGAACATGAACCTGCAGAGGTATCTCTACCAGGTGTGGTCCATGACTCAGCAGCTGTAGTTGAGGCTTATTGGGACTTAAAATTTGATGGAGCTTCGGGAGCTGAGAAAGGCGGAGCTGGCATAACACTAACCAGTGAAGAAGGAGAGAAATTTCATCTATCATATAAGCTTGATTTTGAATGTTCAAACAACGAGGCTGAACATGAGGCGTTGATACAGGGTCTAATTGTTGCCCAAAAGAAGAGACTCCGCAAGTTGAAAATTTTGGGCGCCTCCGAGTTAGTTGTCAGGCAAACAATGGGTGATTTCGCCTTAAAGGAGCCTCTGTTTGGCCCGTATCGCACCGTGGTTCAAGGATTGCTCACTCAATTTGATGATGTCCAAATCCAGCATACCCCGAACACACAACCGTTTCCCCGATGCCTTGGCTACACTGGAGGCAAAGGTGGATATATCAAATGATAGTATAGCCATCGTCATCGAGAAAAGAAGAACACCAGCAGTGTTAGCCGAAGAACATACAGAGCAAGATGCTGAGGGATAGAAAGCATATATAATCCAACAGAACAGTTGAAAACAGGCCAGGGAACAATCAGACCAGCAGAACTTGCATAATTTCGGCTCCTCAGTGGAGAGTTGTATTTTCGCGGTGCCAACAACTTGCTGGCAAGGTGCGTTGGTAGACAAGAAGCAACTTACAGACTTAAGCAGATCTATGCTAAGTCTAGTGGAGATGGAGATATCGGTCTATACCGACGGATACAGAGGCAAGGGTATTACTGGCCAGAGATGGAAAAGGAAAGTACTAAGTTGTAGAGGCAATGTGCAAAATGCCAATCCCATCCTAAGGAAGAGGAAGCCCATTTCTTAAGTAGTGAAGAATGGAGGCAGCCATATGTCGACTACCTTGGAAATGGCACACTGCCTGAGAACAAAGCCGATGCAATCAGAGTTAAGAGGCGGGCCCTCCACTTCTTCCCTTGACCAAAGGATGAGGCAAATGAGGTGTTGAGGGAAGCCCACAAGACAGAACATCAAGGAGGGCAGAAGAGGAAGATGCCAAGAGAAAGTTGAAAAAGGCTATCCATCTGGATCGTGATGGCTTATGATCCACTGTTTTATTAAAGAAACTGATTATAGCCTGGCAATCAGTCCTTAAGATGAGCTGCTGTTTGTCAAGATAGTAAATCTTGAATGACTCCAGAGAATTCATGCATGCATAAATTTCAGCATCAATGGTTGATTTAATTGGATTAAACTTCCCACTGGCGTATGCACAAATCTGTTCCGTTGATCGTGGGTCTTTAGCAGCTAATTTCCATTTACAGACTCCTCCCCATCCTTCCATGCATCCATCTGTTTCAAGAATGATGGAACACTGTGCCGGGGGAATGGATAGATCAGGCAACTTCTGGATCTTGGACTTGATTTTTCGGATCAGTTCCCAATCTTGGGCATTCAATCTCTTTTCTCCATTTGGGCTGACTTTTGAGTATAATGGGCTGAGCATGCGGCCCAAATCTTTGATGTATTGCCTTGCGTAATTGAGGAGGCCCAACCAAGAACGTAGGCCTTTAGTTTCCTTAAGCGTCTCCTCTGGGAATTGGGCCACTTTAGTCACAATGTGTGGCTGTAATTTTATCTTTCCTTCCCCAATTGTTGACCCAAGAAAATCCATTTGGGCCTTGGCAATCTTCATTTTTGTTGGGCTGAGGATGAGCCCATTCTTTCTGCAAATTTCTAACATGGACTTTATGTGTTTGACATGGGATTTCTCATCAGGAGAGAAAACCAGAATATCATCGATGTATACAGCAATATAATCCTCCGTGTCTTTGAAACATAAATCCATTTTTCTTTGAAAGACTGCTGGAGCATTCTTCAATCCAAACGGCATAACTAGCCATTCATATAGCCCAAGAGGTGTCCAGAAAGCAGTCCAATCAATTGAATCAGGATGCATTGCAACCTGATGAAACCCACTCTTTAAGTCGAACTTGGAATAAATACGGCTATGGCCTATTTTTGCCATTATGGTATTTATACCAGGTAGACTGTATTGATCCTTGTGTGTATTATCATTTAGCCTTTTGTAGTTACACACCATACGTTCCTTGCCACGTTTCTCCTCCTTTGTGACTGGATCAATATATGTACCAGAGTTTACGATGAAAGCTGTGGTACGGTGTCGACTTTTGCTTGGTCGGATTACCTTCAATTGTAGAAGTTGATCAATGTGTTTCTTGAAGCTATCCTTCATTGCTGGAGTTATGTGCTTCATCGGTCGATCATTGATTGTGAAGTCAGGATTTTTCAGGTCCAGCTTGCAGGTAATCTGATTGTGTGACCAGTATTTCATAGGATCTTCGCCTATGATTCCACAATTTTCAAGCTGCTCCATTAATTTCCCAAACTGTTGCTCAAAATGAGGACTGATTCTAGTGGAATGAAATAGCCACTCTGATGAAGGCTCATAATAATGATCCACTGTAAAATCTTCCTCTTCTTCAAGCCCTTCCAGAAGATTTACTGATTGACGGGTCTGGATTGTTATTACATTCTTGTAGAATGTAACATTATCTCCTTCGATTCGTACACCTCCATACATTGCTCGAATGAAGTTGCACCCGATAATCATCTGGATTCTTCCTCCAAGGTGGAATGGGAAGCTGTATGTATAAGGGATTCGAAACCAATTATCCCCTATGTACATTTTTCCACCCTTCAATTTCTTATTGGCTTGGCAAGGAAGGAGGATATCGGGCTTAAATTAAGGTCTCTCCAGAAATTTACCATTGTCAACATGAATGGGATCAGCAAAACCCATTACCAGAAGATAGGAGACCAGAATGCACCACATGCAAGAGAGATTTATCCTCATGCTCGAAGGCTTTCTGCAACAAATGTAATGCTCTGACATGCGCATTATGTGCCAAGCATTACTTCAACCTCACAACGTTCATCACTCGGAAGGCTCCAATCCCTTACAATCAAAAGCCATTGTTACAGGAGCAACAAGAATACATCCGATGGTGTGAAGCTGAAATGAAGAGGCTCCGGGAAGAAGCCATTCAATACAAGACAGAGCTTGAAGAACTCAAGTTAATTATTCAGCTACAAGATGATGAACGAGAACTGAGAAGAAAAGGGAAGTATAAAGAAGATGAACTTCTGAATTTGGAAAGAGAAGCTGAAGAAACCGAAGCAGCCGAAGCTCATGTTCATTTTGAAGAAGTTCCACGACCCGCCAAGGGTCCAAACAGTCTCCACGAAGGAAATGACCGAGTCAAGTTGCAGCAAGAACACATGCGACGGCCAAGTTGCAGAGGGAATACATGCAGCGGGGAAGTTGCAAGTATTCTCGGTTCCGTCGCCACCTATAGTTGCTGAGGGAAGGAGAGAACCGAGGCGCCCAAGTTGCATAGGCACTTTGTCGGCGCCGCCATCTCCAATATTGTCGGTTATGCCATTTGAACTTGCCATGGGAAATGACTACCGCAGCAACTACTGCCGCCGCAACCAACTTGCGGAGGGAACATCTCGCCAAGGTGAGAGCAGCCTCTGGGAAAAGCTTCTCCTCTACACGTAGAGGGTAATGCCTGGCGCTGATAGCAGGCCCCAAAATTCATTTAACTTGGCACTGATAGCAGGTCACAAGACTTACTAGTTGGAGCTGATGGCCGGCCTAGGGTACCAGTTTACCGCGGCGATCCCACGAAGATGGGAGCAAGGGACTCCCTTTCCATTACCCAGGACATAGACCTGCCTTAGTCGCACGGGCAGAACTAAAGAAGCCCCTTGGGCTTGGTACTAAGGAACAACATGGCTGATAGCAGGCTTGGCTGTGGCCTTTGCCCTGGGAAGCTGGGGAGTTTGTGGTTGGGTGGCTAAGGGTGAAGGCTTCACTGCAGTGAGCACGAACATAGTCGATAGCAGACTAATGGAGTGTTGAGAATGCATGCAGTGGCCAAGTAGAACTGAGAAGGCAAGTGCAGCAGCAAGGTTTACCGCTGCAAGTGCACTTGCTGAGGTTCGAGCTGATAAGGCAAGTGCAGCGGCAAGCGATGAAGGAGAGTTTCAAGAAACATATTGAACAGCTTCTACAACTTAAGGTAATCCGGCCAAGCAAAAGTCGACATCGTACCACGGCGTTTATCGTAAATTCTGGTACATATATTGATCCTGTCACAAAAGAGGAGAAACGTGGCAAAGAAAGGATGGTGTGTAATTACAAAAGGCTGAATGACAACACCCATAAGGATCAATACAGTCTACCTGGTATAAATACCATTATGGCAAAGGTGGGCCATAGCCGTATTTACTCCAAGTTTGACTTAAAAAGTGGATTTCATCAGGTTGCCATGCACCCTGATTCGATTGAATGGACTGCTTTCTGGACACCTCTTGGGTTATACGAATGGCTGGTTATGCCATTTGGATTGAAAAATGCCCCAGCAGTCTTTCAGAGAAAGATGGATCTATGCTTCAAAGGAACTGAAGAATACATTGCTGTCTATATCGATGATATTCTGATTTTCTCTCCAGACGAAAAGACGCACGCAAAGCATATACGATCCATGCTTGAGATTTGTCAGAAGAATGGGCTCATCCTAAGCCCAACAAAAATGAAAATTGCTGCAGTACAGATGGATTTTCTTGGATCAACAATTGGGCAGGGAAGGATAAAGCTACAACCACATGTGATAACCAAGGTAGCCCAGTTCCCAGATGAAACTCTTAAAGAAACTAAGGGTTTACGCTCTTGGTTGGGCCTTCTCAATTATGCCAGACATTACATCAAGGACTTGGGCCGCATGTTAAGCCCATTATATTCGAAGATCAGCCCAAATGGTGAGAAGAGGCTCAATGCCCAAGATTGGGATTTAATCCACAAGATCAAGGCCAGGATCCAGAAACTACCAGATCTGTCAATTCCTCCATCACAATGTGCTATTATTCTTGAAACCGATGGATGCATGGAAGGATGGGGAGGAATCTGCAAGTGGAAACCAGCTGCTAAAGATCCTCGATCTACGGAACAAATTTGTGCATACGCTAGTGGGAAGTTTAATCCTATCAAATCAACAATTGACGCTGAAATCTACGCGTGCATGAATTCCCTAGAATCCTTCAAGATATATTATCTTGACAAACAGCAGCTGACTCTAAGAACTGATTGCCAGGCCATAATCAGTTTCTTTAATAAAACAGTGGATCATAAACCGTCACGGTCCAGATGGATAGCCTTCACAGATTACATTACTGGCTTAGGCATAGATGTATCTTTAGAACACATTAATGGTTCTGATAATACTCTAGCTGATGCACTTTCAAGGCTTGTATATTCACTGTTTTCATTTACAGAATGGCCAACAGAGGTGGAACCGGAAGATATGGAGGTGCTAGTCGGCCTTCAGCAAATAGAAGAACTTATCCTCTCCTACGAAGTGAAGAAAGGATCA